TGCGCTGATCTCCGGCTCCGTGGCCACGCCCTCTGCCCCCGTGGCCACGCCCCCTGCCTCCCCTTTGGGCGCTCCTGCCGGGGCTCAGCCCACTAGTGCTGCCTTTCCCTAATCAGCCCTCAGCCAGTGAATCCCCGCAGGGGTATCCAGCCTTTTGAAGTCTCTGGGCCATACTGGTAAAAGAGTTGTCTTGGGCCACACGTTAAACAGATTGCGACATGTAATCACAAAAACATCTCATGATGTTTTAAGTGAATTTACGATTTTGTGTTGGGCCGTGTTCATAGCCATCCTGGGTTGCAGGTTGGCCCCCCTGCCTACACTGTTCCTGGGTGGGCTCCCCCAGCCACGGCCCCTACCTCCCCTCAAGGCTTTACCCTCCTTGGGCCCACTCCTGCTCCCCCTCCAGGGTTCAGCTCTCTGGACAAACATCAGGGAGAGTCTTGCACAGCCAGTCCAAGAACCAAATTTTAAGCAACGCTACTGCGTTGTGGTGACCCTGACCTGTTTCTTCCTCTGTGTCCACCACTGTGTCAACTCTGGGGAGCTGAGGGGCTCCTTCCTCCTGACAGCCCAGCCTCGAGGACTTCGGCAGCTCAGGAAGCATTTGGTGAGGGAGTGAATGAAGGAATCCTAAAACATCTCAGTGGCAAAGTAAGACCAAGGGAAAGGTTCCAGGTGAAGATGATGGGGTGAGAGCGTGTATCTTTCCCCCGAGGAAACCCCACTAAAACTATAGCAAAGGGATTTAAGAGACACAGATCCCTGAGGAGGATGAAGAGGCAAACCTGAGACACGGAGACAAAGAACCGTGGAGTACGGGGGCAGGCAGTAGGAGGGACCTCAGGAAGGGGGGCCTGGGGGCATCCTGAGGCTCTGGACCATATTGTGTGCGCTGGCCAGCACCAATGCTGCCCTTACCCAGGCAGCTTCCGGTCAGGGGCCCAGTGTCTTGTCTGCACGGGTGCCCTAACCCCAGTGAGTCCTGGATTTTCCAAGCTCTACCCGCTGTTCCTTAAAGGGGCTCTGAACACTCTCCGACCTGGAGACCCTTTTGGGATGTCTCGCCCTGGGAGCCTTCACCCAGAAGTGGCAATATCGACCTTCCCTGATTCAGCTAGATTCGAGCTTAGCACTCGGCTTTGCAAAACTCAGCGAAATTTGATTAGGTATACATATTTCCCCCGAGAAACTGATACAGAGGAACCAGCGATGGGAGGGAACAGCTTCCACCCACTCCTAGTATCGTAAGACTTCCTCCCCACAGGCCTCCTTCCAGACTGTGTTGGCTTCATGGAAATTACCTCCAGACCAGCTCCTTCTTCCCTTTTCTCAGCCAGAGGGATCAGGACCCTGTGATTTCTCAGTGATTTTTTTTTTCTGTTCAACTCCCTGCCTTGTAGTTAGAGGAGATATGTCATCCCAGGAATTATTGATAAATGTATATTATTTAAGCTGAAAAAAACTTTTTAAAGATTTTATTTATTTATTTTTAGAGAGAGGGGAAGGAAGGAGAACGAGAGGGAGAGAAACATCAATATGTGGTTTCCTCTCGTGCGGCCCCTACTGGGGACCTGGCTCGAAACCCAGGCATGTACCCTGACTGGGAATTGAACCAGCAACCCTTTGGTTCGCAGGCTGGCACTCAATCCACTGAGCCATACCGGCCAGGGCTGAAAAATTTTTTTAAAGGATGGGAAAATGAGTGTTGAACACCTTCTACAAAGATCCTAAGCAAATAGACACTGGTTCTGAAGATAGAAGTGCCCCTTGAAAAATGGGTAAAGACGGGAGAGAATTACTTAGTGCATCTCTTAGACCTGTGAAGTTCTGTGTAGTGGATATTCTGGGGAAAGGATAGAATTCCTTTAAAAGTTGGGCTGCCCTGCAGCTGAAGCCAAGTTGTAAAGCTGTTTGGGACGTAGAGGGGTTAGTAAAGAGACCAACGGTACGGTCATTTCCAACGACCTGGTGGGAGGGTATTTGGAACGGTTTAAATGCTGGCTGCCCAGGAAACTGATGATTGGAAAAATAACATCACGGGGCTTTTTATATGGCCTGCTGGTATCATGATGCAATGTGATTATTTTTCTGAGTTTCTGTTTTTGCCACAGGAAAAGGAAGAAGCGAGGGAATCAAAGGAACACTCAGATGCCTAATTACCAGTGTTTCTCTCAGATAAATTATGAACAGGCAGTTAAAGAATTCTCTTGCTACAGCAAAGAAACAAAGCAGCCTTTAAACACTTTGGATGTGAACATGCCCTAATTTCAAAAGCACTAGAGCTGTGTGTAACTCTGAAGATAATCTTTTTCTCTAAGGAATGATTAAGCTGAGTTAAAAAAAAAAAAAAGTAACCCTAACTCCCCAGCCCTGGGCCTGTGGCAGACATCATTAATCAATCAAGGCAGATTTTTCCAGGGAACCTAAATGCCACCCCAGAATTCTTCTCAACAATGTATGCCTGGCAGCTACTATAAATAGGTTTGAATCTGCACTGAGCTGGGCCAACTTTAGAGACCCCTGTCCCGTGGTTAGAACCAGAGTCTGTGGAGTCAGATCTTAGCTCAGCCACTTAAGCTTTCAGAGAAGTTTCTATACTTTCAAAATGTAGCTAATAATAGTACCTATCTCACTGAATTATTGTGAGGATTAAATAAATGACCAGTTTTAAACAGGACAAATAGTAATTACTCAATAATTTTTTTTCAGAATAAAGTGTTAAAGAGGGTTGTGTACTCTTTAACCCTAGAGGAAGAACTACATGAAGATTTAGTAGTAATCTATGAATTTGTTCAATAAAGATGTATTTGGTGCCGTGGCTGGTGTAGCTCAGTGGATTGAGCGCGGGCCTGTGAACCAGAGGATTGTGGTTCGATTCCCAGTCGGGGCAAGGGCCAGTTCCAAGCGGGGGATGCATGAAAGGCAACCACACATTGATATTTCTCTCCCTCTCTCCTTCCCTTCCCCTCTAGAGATAAATAAATAAAATGTTTTTTAAAAAAAGATGTAGTTGGCAACTATTCTATGCCAGACTGTGTGTCAAATGTGGCTAGTAAAATAAGTCACTGATTTATCTAGATGATGTATATATTAATCTTTTTTTTACTGAATTCTTTTTAAAAATTTTATTAGTTATTTTTCAAGTACAGTTTTTTGTATATTTCTCCCATCCCATTTTTTTACTGAATTCTTTTTTTAAATTTTATTTAGTTATTCTTTTATATTAATCTTGTTCAAAGTCGAAATCCTTTGAAATGTAATGATATACTGACAAGTTATTGGTTTATAGCCAGTTGTTTTACATCAAAATTCTATATAAAAGGAAAAATAATAGAGAAAACAAGCAGCCAATTAGATATGGAAAGCCACTCAACCTCACTAATAAACAGGGAACAAATTGATTACAACCGTGAGAGGGGGCGGAGCCATGGAGAGGCAAGAAACAAAGAGTTGAAGTGGCCTTGGATTTTTAACCCATAATTTTATACCCAGCCAATCTATCCATTGGGTATAAGGTTCAGAACAAAGCTATTTTCAGACTCAGTGACCTGAAAAATGGGCTTCCATAACAGAGTTATGCTTTAACGCACGTTTATGTGTTAAAAAATCATGACTCCCTCACAAATGTAAAATGAATGTGTGTTAAATATCTTTCTTAATTCATGATGAATGAGGGGACCAGTAAGATGTTACGACTAATTTAAGGAAGTCAAAGAAGCATGCTTTTTTTATGGAGTAGAGAAATTTTGAAACTAGTTAGATGCAAATAAAGTTACAGACATGAAACTACCTTTTGGTACAGGAGGAGGGGCGGGGCAGGGATTATTCATTTGCATATCTATAATAAGAATTACTTTCAAATTGCTGTCAGTTATCTACGATGCACAGAGTCGCAAAGTAGCTCCAAGGACCTGAGAGGCACGGAGCGCCCACAGAATCAAAATCAGGTACTGAAAGGATGTGCTGTAAACCGTGCATAGTTTTTCATGAAAGCATAACATTCTCCGAGTACACTCCTCAGTGACTTTTATGGGGACAGTACCAGAGGCTATGACTCCTCAAAAGGAGAGAGTAAAATTTAGAGAGAGAGAGACGGGGCGGGATGGGGAGGAGAGAAACACGGGCTGTCCCAAACGAGAGACTGGCTCCCAGCACTGGTGGCCCGAAGAGTCCAGGACTCCAGCTGAACATGAGGACCCAGCGCTGCGCAGGGCTCAGAGCGCAGGGCGGAGCGGGACTCCTGAGGGGCTCCGGGAAGAAGACACGGAACGGATGAGCTTGAGCGTATGGAAGATATCACGGAAAGGCCTCTGGCAGAGACGTCAGGGCTTTTATAGGACACTAAGGGTAAGGAACAGAAAGAAAGTGAGTGAAACACCGAGGCCATCCCGAACTGCAGGAATCCTGGAAGGCTGTGTGAGAAGGACGCTAAGCAGTGCTTACTTGGCTCAGCCATGAGAAATACTTGCATAGTCATTACAATGTAAATAAGGACTATTTATTCATCCAGAAAGTGGAATAAAGTGATGCTGGGTGATGGGTGTGCACCTGGGAGAGTAGGTACTCACCCACAGAGGTCAGCGCAGCATGTCTGTAAATGAGAAGTTAAGAAAAAACAGCAGAAGAGGCAAAGGTTTCCCAGCCACGGAGGCAGGTACCAGGGAAAATGGCTGCAGGAGCTGCCAGCCCTGCCTCTGGGAAGACCTGCCGGTGAGAAATCTTAGGGCAGGGAACAGCTGGTTTTTGTCATTAAAAACTTACGTACCTGCATTCACACCTAAATATATACATGTCACTATATGTATACATTTACTTAAATTGGAAAAAATGATTATACCTTAAAAAGGTGTACATTAGCAAGTGCTGGTAAGCGTGGGTAATCCCAAACATGACCAGGGAAGGAGAAGTCGTCGTCGCCTTTTTGAGAGAATCTGATGACATTTCACATGTACACAGCCTGCCACCCAGTGATTGTATCTCTTGCTCTTTAACTTCAGAGAAACAAACGCTCGCCCACGTGACCCAGGAAGCAGGCATCAGAGGATCCTGGAGCGCTATCTAAGAGGTAAAAGCAAGATAATCCCACAGGTGTGCAGGAAGCCAAAGGGCAGCACAAAGGACAAAGCAAGAAGCCCGGTTTTATCCGGTGCTGCTGACATGCACGCTCCCCCCCCCACGTGCTGACCAGGCTGCAGGGCCCAGAACAGCAACACTGGTGTTAACATCGCAACCACAGCCACGCCTAGTGCAACAGTGTATTTTTTGTGTGTTCACATCAGTGCCTCTATACAGAGAAGTTCTGGAAGCAATACATACAATCAGCTGATAGCAATAACCAAGAGGGGCCATTCCTATATCTGTGCTACCTTTTACGGGAGCAGGGGGGAAATGCAAATCTGTTCCTTTTACAAAAATATTTTATTTATTTACTTTTAGACAGAAGGGAAGGGGGAAGAAAGAGAGGGAGAGAAACATCAAAATGTTTGGCTGCCTCTTATGTGCTCCCTAATGGGGACCTGGCCTGCAACCCAGGCATGGGTCTGACCGGGAATCAAACCCACAACCCTTTGGTTCCCAGGCCAGCGCTCAATCCGCTGAGCCACACCAGCTAGCACATCTTTTCTTTTTTTCTTTTAATTAAGCTCACTGGGGTGGCATTGGTTAATAAAATGATGTGGGTTTCAATGGTTCGATTCTATGATATATCGTGTGTCCATTGCATTGTGTACTCACCTCCCAGAGTCACAAACCTGTTTCTTAAAATGATTTTTAAAATCAACAACATACATGTTCTATCTTAACCGCTTTGGGTATACAGTACAGTAGTGTGCATCGGAAAGTGCATTCACAGGGTTGTACAGTCAACCTGCAGAACTCTGGTTATCTCGTAAATCTGAAGCTCTAGCGCTCATTAAACAAGTCCCCATGTCTTCCTCCTCAGTTCTTGGCAATCCACCCTTCTACTTCCTGTCTCCCTGAATGGATCACACTAGGTACCTCGTGTAAGCGGAATGTACAGGATCTGTCTTTTTGTGGCTGTCTTGTTTCCCTTGGCATAATGTCCTCAAGGTTCTTCCATGTAGCCTGTGTCAGGATTTCCTTCTTTTTAGAGCAGAACTGTCCTGTCTTGTTTATGAGCATGTATACCTGTATTTTCAGTGAAATTAAAAACAAACAGAACTTTCAAAAGAAAAGGCAAATACACACTTAGAAAAATAAACTAAGGAAATACACAAAAACGTTACTTATTTCTGGGTCAGGCAGTTAGGGTCACTTAAGTTTCCTTTCATATATTCTTTTTTGTGTGGGTCCAGTGTTAACAATAAAAAATGTTAACATCAGAAAGCAAGAGAGCGTGCTATTCTGGTTTGACGCATCCCCAAGGGAAGGCCGACACTTGGAAAGAAGTTCTGTACCCGGCTGGACGGCTTGGGGTGGGGCTCAGTGGACCCTGGGGATAAAGGGATGGCCTGTGGACAGGGACCACCCCCCAGACTGGGGTTGGAGCCCCAAAATGTGTGTGAAAGAAGCTCAATCTATCCCATTACCTACAAGTGACAACTCAAAGGAAGTACTGAAGTTCTATTTCCTTCCTTCCTTCCTTCCTTCCTTCCTTCCTTCCTTCCTTCCTTCCTTCCCTCCCTCCCTCCCTCCCTCCCTCCTCTCTCTCTCTCTCTCTCTCTCTCTCTCCTAAGGCAAAGATTGGTAACACTTTGTTGGTGTGTTGGTAAAGCTGGAGCAGAACAGGTGCTCTCAAACATTGTTGGCGGGGGAGGGGGGAGCAAATTGGCTCCATCCCTGTGGAGGGCGGTATCCATGACAATCACAAATCACATGCCCATTGACTCAGAAATCCCACTTTTAGTGATTCATCCCACAGATAAATGTACGGACACAAAATTGTATAGGTTTCAATTGTACAATTGCAGCATTATTTATAACAGCAAAAGTTTGGGGACAACCCGTAGGGGACTGGTCCAAGACACTTCTGTTAAGTCACCCGTCTGTGCTGTGGCAGTGCGGGGTGGGAGAACGGAGTGGGAGGCAGATGTGCATTTATTTCACGCCACGGCATTTTCCCCTATGTCTGTTTTAGGACAAAGTGCCATCCAGTAAAATACGTGTGCCCTGCGTCTGCATTTTCCCATCTCTAAAAAGGAGATGATGATTCTAACCTCTTAAGGTGACAGGAGCGGGTTCCGTGGAATAGCCATGTAAATGCTTAGGTCGAAGCCCGGCAGAGAGTGGGTGCTGCATGAGCCTATTATTATCCAGGGTGCCACATGTAACATGACCCATCAGCCCTGAGAGATGGGTTCATCAGCCGAGGGAGGGGGCCCTCGTGGTCAAGGCTAACGCCCTCCTGAGACAGACTAAGTTTACCTCGGGGATGGATCTCCTGCCGAGCCCACGCAGGACGGTGGGCAGGGCTGGCAGCCGGTCACATCGGTGCCGCTCCAGAGAGTCACACTGCTGTCTTCACACGCTCGCGTGGACGGGCGCTGGGCCCGGGGCTTGCTTTCATCAGTAGCACGTGGCAGGGGGAACTCCTCCTAAAAATGACCGGTACTGACCACGCTGAGGCCCAAAAGCCGATGAACAGCAGATGTTCAAGGTCAGCAGAGAAGGAAACAGGAGAGGAGACAGCGTGCCTCTGCCTTTCGAGGCGCTGTCCCAGGAGCCCCTCGCACGTCTGCTCACACGTCCTGGGCTAGAGCCTCCTCAGAGAGCCACGCCTCGTCGCAGGGGGGGGGGGGTTGAGCAAGGAAGTCTCACCACGGGCAGCTCTGCGGTCCCCCATAAAATACACTGATCTCATTGAGTGATGAAAGCGTTCCGGAATCATGCCCTAGCTGGTGTGGCCTAGTTGGTTGGTGTGTCGTCCTGTAAACTGAAAAGTCATGGGTTCGATTCCCTGTCAGGGTACTTGCCTGGGTGGCGGGGGTTCGGTTCCCAGTTGGGGTGTGTCCACGAGGCAACTGATGTTTCTCTATCAAATCGAGGTTTCTCTCCCTCTCCTCCCCTCTCTCTGAAATCAATAAGCATGTCCTCCCGTGAAAAATTAAAAAAGCAGCCATGGTGATGGGTGCACAGCCTTGTCAACGAACTAAATACGCGTTAAAATGGTGAACTTTGCTATGTGAATTTCACCGCCATTTAAAAAGACTGGACTTCTGTCACTAAGGAATAAGATGGAAATGCGTATTGGGGTAGGCAATCAGCAGGCCCACGGTACCGAGTTTTCATGGCATCGGGTCTCTCTGGGCTGCAAGGCACCCGGGCAGGGGAATGGGGCGTCAGGATTGGACAGTCCGGCCACGTGCTCACCTGCAGGTGCGGGCGGGGTCTGTGCTGGGAGAAGCTGCGCTACCATGCACGGGGGTAGACGGGTTGGATCAGCAAAACCATCCTGGCGTTGGTCGTTGGTCGTTACAACTTAGCTACAAAGCTCCCTTAACTTGAGGCATACCTGTGTTGGGGACTAGAGGAACATGGGACCTGGTCACAAGGGGGCTTTGGGACCAGCACGTACCCTGAGAAGGTCAAGATACAAACCTGACTTAAGGCAGAAGGAGATGAACTCAACACCCTGGCCAGTGTTCTGTTGGCAGCCATGGATAGAGCTCCATTATTCCCCTTCACCGTTTTATGACTTTTTCTCATTGTTTTCCTCAACAGCCCAGGCCCAGCCAGGAGTTTACTTTTGAACTTGATCTGTTTACCCTTTGTAAGCCGCACTGTCTCCGAGAATACCAGGGGAAGTTTTGTCCAGTGGGGCCTGCGTTTTGTCTGCACCCCAAACATGAAGGGAGTGGTTCCCCAACTTTCATGAAATGTTACCTAGGAGAGAAATGGGTACAAACGATTCAGCGCCCAAAGCTGGGGTGACTAGAGAGTGGCTTAGCCACAACTGGGGCCTTGCGGGTCCCCAGAGACCCGAGTCCTGCCCAAGTGCCCGAAGCCCAGAGAAGCAGGGCAGGACGGGAGGGGAGGGGAGAGAGAGAGTTAAGTCCGTCCAGGTCTCTCAGTGTGATGAAACCAGGGCGGCGTGTCTGCCAAGAACAGGTCGGCCTCAAAACAGGAAACCCCGGGGTAGTGATAAATGAACACTTCTCTGTAGATTTTACATGGCTCTCTAGGGAAAGTGCTGGAACTGATCTCATTCACCTTTTTTTTTTTTTTACGAACCACATCGAGGAGGAAAAGCACAATGAGCTCTCCAGGTTTGCCAACCACGCTAATCTCTTCCAGGTGCTGAATGCTAAGGTAACTGGGAAACTGCAGGAAGGGGGCAGCCCTTACTGGGAGGGGCAGGAGCAAAGCGGGGCTGGGGGGCAGAGCCGGACTCTGCTGCTGCGGCTGTCCTGAGCTCCAGCAATGTGCTTCCCGGGATCCTGCAGGCCCAAGTGTCGGTGCAGGTGGTCGGGGACGGGTGGGACAGTCGTGCTGGGGTCCCCGCCCTGCCTGGGAGCCCGTGTAATGTTCCCCTCCTTCCTGGCCTGCAGACGGAAGCTGCGCTTTCCTGCGAACCCCACCTTCACAGAATTCCTCCGAGAAAGGCCGGCTTTTCCTCCTTAGGCAGCACTGGGCTCTATGGTCACCTCCATGGGTTCTCTCCTACCTGGCCACGAATTGTTGACCCTCCTTGGCTTCTGACCTTAACCCTCCTCTGTGATCGGTGGAGTGTGGTGTGAGTCCCACCTGTCCCACACCTGGCTACCGCACCTTCGGGCACCATTTTCCAACCCCTTCCAGTGGACCCACCCCACTGTCACCCAGCAGGCATTTGCTGGGAGAACAGAGAAGGATCTGACCTCAAAAATGGCAGATGCTCCGCATTCTGCTGGTCCTCTGAGGAGCGTCTCCCCCTCACCTTCCCTGAGTCCCTCATATCTGCTGGGATCTTCACCTCAGCCTCAAGCACCTTCTTCAGTCCATCCTGCTCTTAATTTCCCATAGGAGAGGGCACCAAAAACAGAACAAAACAAAATCCGAATTGTCTTCAGGCTTCTTGCCACTAAGGTGAGTGTTCTAGGAACCCACCTGTATCGGTGTACCAGCTGGCGTTGTTGTGAGAGGCTGTGTTTGTCTTCAGTGAATTTCTGTTTTGAAGACTCTCAGTGAGTTTGCCCATTTCGTGATGGGTGATTTATGAGCACACCTGCCCACACCACACTGAGTGTTCAGCAGTTTTTGACCAAAAATGGCATGAACCCCATGCCCCACCCTCCCTATTCATCCGATTTTGCCCCAAGTGACTTTTTATTGTTTCCTTGGATTAAAAAAAAATTCCCCAAAGGGAAACGTTTTGCCAGTGTGGAAGAGGTGAAACAAAAAAACAGCAGAAGCACTAAAAGGCATCAAAATCAAT